GCACCACATAAAAATAAAATAAAGATGTTGTGTTCGCTGAGAACTAAAAAATAAATATTAAGAAAATATTTATTTTTTAGTTGTAGTTGGACACAATACCTTTGTTTCATTTATTTATTTTTATGTGGTACTGAGGATTGAACCCAGGGCCTGGCCCATTTTAGGTGAGCGCTCTACCACTGAGCAACAACCCTAGCCCTTTCTTTTTATTTTTTAACCATTTTTTAAAATTTTAGATTTGTTATATATGACAACAAAATGCATTACAATTCATATTACACATATAGAGCACAATTTTTCATATCTCTGGTTGTACACAAACCAGATAACGAAGATTTACATCTTCATATTACACATATAGAGCACAATTTTTCATATCTCTGGTTGTACACAAACCAGATACGAAGATTTACATCCTTCATATCTTCTTACATATATTTAGGGTAATGATGACCATCACATTCCACCATCTTCCCTATCCCTATGCCTCCTCCCTCCCCTTTTCCCCTTTGCCCTATCTAGAGTTCATTTAATCTTCCCATCCCACCCACCAACAGTATATTATGGATCAGCATTCTTATATCAGAGAAATCATTTGGCATTTGATTTTTTGGGGGATTGGTTAATTTCATTTAGCATTATATTCTACAGCTTCATCCATTTACCTTTAAATGTCATGATTTTATTCTCTTTTAATGCTGAATAATATTCTGTTGTGTATATATACCACATTTTCTTTATCCATTTATCTACTAAAGGGAATCTAGGTTGGTTCCACAGTTTAGTATTGTGAATTGTGCTACTATAGACATTGATGTGGCTATGTCCCTGTAATATGTTGTTTTTAAGTCCTTTGGGTATAGACTGAGGAATGGGATAGCTGGGTCAAATGGTGGTTCCATTCTCAGTTTTCCAAGGATTCTTCATACTGCTTTCCATGTTGGCTGCACCAATTTGCAGTCCTACCTGTAATATATGAGTGTGCCTTTTTCCCTACATCCTCGCCAAAACTTATTGTTGTTTGTATTCTTAATAGCTGCCATTCTGACTGGAGTCAGATGAAATCTTAGAGTAGTTTTGATTTGCATTTCTCTAATTGCTAGAGATGTTGAACATTTTTTTTCATATATTTGTTGATTGTATATCATCTTCTGAGAAGTGTCTGTTCAGTTCCTTGGCCCATTTATTGATCGGGGTTTTTTTTTTTGGTGTTAAGATTTTGAGTTCTTTATATGTTCTAGACATTAGTGCTCTAGCTGATGGGCGTGTGATAAGACTTTGTTCCCAATTAGTAGGCTCACTATTCACCTCACTGATTATTTCTTTTGCTGAGAGAAGCTTTTTAGTTTGAATCCATACCATTTATTGATTTTTGAAATTAATTCTTGCTATGAAAATATTTCTGAAATATGTTTTTTCACTCAATAATTTGAGTCATGGGCCATCCATCTTTATTAAATATAAAGTTTTTATTTTAATAAAAATTGCTATTCAGTGTTCCACATTCTGTATCTATTGCATTTTATTCATTGTTTCCCTACCGATGTTTTTCAGTGTTTGACAAAAGTATTGCAATGAGCCTTTCTATAAATCCCTTTTTAGACAAAGCTCAAGGGCATTTCTAGAACAGTGGAATTCCTAAGTAACTCATTAATATTTTACATTAATATTTAAGTATTTTTTCATGATATAGAGGAAACAATCTCTCTGGCCTGTAAAAGTTACTTAGCAAATAACCTGTACTTTCTAGGAAATATTAAGAAGAAATAAAACTTCCAGAATTGGAGCAGGAGAGTATTCTGAAACTTTCAGACATGACTCAAACTTATTCTTTGATCTTTGATACTTTTTCCATTATAATCAGGCTTTGTTACTTTGCTTTTGAAATATTTAAATATGTTTGCCCCCTTTAAGATAGTAAGCCAAATATAAAAATATGATTACACAAGTCATTTAATTCAAAGAATTTACAGAAAATTCTTATACATAACTCAAGTGGTTAGAATATAAGAAATAAGCTTAGAATAGAATTTGGAGTATGAGTGATCACGAAGACTCACCTAGTTCAGTCCTCTTGATTTACAAATGTGATGAATGAAGGCACAGAGAGCTTAAATGATTTATGTGGATTCCTGCTGGATCCATGGAAACTCAGAGACTCAAAAATCCCCTTTGAAGAGAATATTTAGGTTTGCAAACCACTAGAATCTTTGCAACACTTGTTTTGTAATAATGATAGATCAATTGAAAGCTATACTACAGTGACTTTTCTGTTTACTTCTTGCTGTTTTACCATGCTAACTCACAAAAGTGTCATATCTCTTGTCCAAAGAAAATGCAAAAATACAATCTTTTTTTTTTTTGACAACTGTAGAAACTTATCAGATGTGACTGGGACTAGAAGTTGATTGTAAACTTGGTTAAAAGCCTTTTCCTGTAGTTTTGGTCTATAGATTGGAGTTCTATGTTGTCTTTTTGTTTTTGTTGTTGTTATTGTTGTTGTGTTTTTAAAATATTTGTAAAGCCTGTGGTTTTTAAAAAATTGTATTTATCTATCTTAATTTGGTATATATGGCAGCAGAACATTTTGATTCATTATACACAATTGGAGTACAACTTTTGTGTTGTCTTTTGTACATAAAAACTTCAACTATAATTTCTATATAGATTTTTTTTTGAGATCGAAGTAGAGCTTAGACCTTTTGAATCATTTAGAAGTGCAGAATCCTTTTGAATTTTTGTGGATTTCTCCTCTAATATTTTCTGATTTTCTTGTTCATATTAATGATGCTTTTTAGGAAAAAAAAAACTTTTTTAAGGTTTTCTTTGAAACTTTCCACTTAGTTTTATAATTCCAATTCTAGAATGCCCAAATGTTATTATACTACTTAATTGTATGGCATAGTTCCTGTAATAATAAAACTAGCATAAACAGATTAGAAGATGAACATAGTTAATCCATGCTGTGTAGCACTCCAGTGGCACATGAGGAACTTGCAAACTGAGCATTAGGCAAGCCACGTGCAGAGTGGTATATATGGGAGGAGTAAAAAATTTTTGTGAGTCAGCTCAGGGGAGGCTGCTTAGAAGAACTTCTACTGTATTCTAAAGAGACCATTGGCAAATTTTAGGACAGTGATCTATAGGGAACACAGGAGGAATGTAAAGTTTGTATGCATTAAGCCCTATCAAAAAGCAGTGATAAACTTTTTAAAAATTATTTTTTAGTTGTAGTTGGACACAATACCTTTATTATTCATTTATTTTTATGTGGTGCTGAGGATAGAACCCAGGGTCTTTCACGTGCAAGGTGAGCGCTCTGCCGCTGAGCCACAACCCCAGCCCAGTGATAAACTTAAAAAAAAAAATTTTACTGGACATAATCAAATTTTCTTTTTGGGGAAACTCAAAATGCAAACTTCCCTTGAAGATTTCTTGGTAGCTTATTCTATTCTTTCTTAATGATCCCAATACATTATGATGTAATGTGATACTTTTTTTAAAAAAATACACTTTTCAATCTGACTTAAAAATCTGGGGGAGGTGCATGCCACCTCCTTTTTTCCCCCTAGACTCCTAATATACATTCGACAAAGCCTGTAATTCCAGCAGCTCCCAAGCTTGAGGCAGGAGGATTTCAAGTTTAAAGCCAGCCTCAGCAATTTAGCAAAGCCCTAAGTAACTCAGCAAGACCCTGTTTCTAAGTAAAATATAAAAAAAGGGCTGGGGATGTGACTCAGTGATTAACCACTCCTGGGTTCAATCTCCAGTACAACAATAACAACAACAACAAAAATACAAAAATCAGACTTTGTCCTATAGAAATGCTTCTTTGTAATGGTATGTCATTTAGGAACATTTCTTTTTACCTATTTTTCTAAAGCTATGTTATTTGAACTGTGTGTTATGTAATTAAAGATTTTTGTTGAATAGTTATTATATGATATAAAATTGCATGTATGCTTTAATATTTAAATTGATGACAGTGTAACCTAAAAGCCATTTTAGAACTTTTTACTTGGCTTGAATAGGAATTTTCTTATCTAAAGATTTTTATATATGCTTGTCTTGCTTCCTTTGTTATTAGCATGGATATCATGGGAATTTTTGCTGTTGTTTCATTTATGCAGTTCATGAATGTATTAAGCACATGAAAAATAATGTTAGACACTGTTAATATAAAAATGAGTTAAAAACATGGCTCTTGTCCTTTTCTAAATTTATTTATTTATTTTTTTAGTTTTTAACTATTTTAATAAATACAATTAAAAAAGACATAGTTGAAATTTATTTTACTCACAAAACTGAATATATCAAGAGTACTATTTTTATGTGACAAATATATAATTACTAATAAAGAAGATATATGTATTTAGAACTACATTCTCACAACTCCCTCTATTTTGAGGCTCTAGAACATCTATTTATTTATTTATATATATTTTTTCTTTTCTAAATTTACATGTAAAACTTACTATATTTCCTTGATAGAGTTAGGTGCTCAGTAAATGTTATCATAGCATTAGAAATGTCACATTCTAACTTGCTTTAGAGTGAATCTCCCTATTAAACATGTTTCCCAAGGCTTCTTTTTAACCCCCTCCATCTTACTTTCCTGGGCAAAAGAATCTACCTACCTCTAACTGTGGTTCTTTCTTGTGTCATATAAAAATCTTCTTTGGAAAGCACTTGCTATGCCAACTCTACTGGGACTTCTAATATTGTCACATTGTCCTCTGTTTAAAGGAGAAGGAGGAAAAGGTGTGTGCCACCCCACCTAGCTGTTCAGTATTTTCTAATGAATTCAGATGAGGAAGAAAATCTCTAGTGGCTATTATTTTTTAAATCTGTGCCTGTGTGTCCCTCTAATGAAGGCTGTATTAAGCCTCTTTTGATCAAGTGCTGTTATGATTCATTTATTTGAAAATTAAGTTACTAGAAACATAGAAAGAGTTTTGTGACCTTATAATTTTTTTAAATGCTTCTTTTTTCCCCCTTAGTCTCCTTGTATACATTTGATAAAGCTAAACAGTGTATTGGCACAATGACCATCGAGATTGATTTCCTGCAGAAAAAAAACATCGACTCCAACCCTTATGATACCGACAAGATGGCAGCAGAATTTATTCAACAGTTCAACAACCAGGCCTTCTCAGTGGGGCAGCAGGTAGGTCTAAGTTTTCTTTATTTCCTTTCATTTAATAGGTATTCTAATCCCTGTTGTTATCCAAAATTACTTCTACTTTTTAACAACTGAGAGGAGCTTTGCATAGAACAGATATATTCAAGATATGTGATTAAAAAGTAAAGGAGTTATACTTACTAAGCCTGCACAGTTCTAGTCAGAAAAATTTTAAAGTAGCTTTTAGCTTAAGATGTCATATGTAGTTACAGTTGCTTTTCCCTCTGCAAATTTAGGAATATTGCAGTTATAAATCTGAGGTTTTTTTTTTTTTAATTGCAGGACATTTGTTTTATTTCTGGGATATCTTTTCCTAATGTATTTCTGTACAAAAAGTAGTTCATGATATCTTTTGGTTATGGATTTGAGAATCTAAAAAAATTGTGTATATATTCAATTTTTTTTTTTGTAGAAAATTTAAAGCCAAAACCTTCATTAAAAAACATTTGCCAAGGACTGTGGGTATACCTCACCAAGTTGTGCGAAGCCCAGGGTTCAATTCCAAGCACTGCCAAACAAAGAAATAAAAGAAGACATTTGTCAGTATTGTCCTTTATTTGGACTTCAGTTAATATCACATAATTAACCTCCTAAGAAAGATTCTTCTTTTTTTCAAAATTTTACTTAAATGTGAGTTCATATGAGCATTTTCTTTTGACCTTCCCATCACATTTGTCTCCTTCTTAGTGACTTTCTTAGTCATTTCAGACTCCTTCCTCATACCTTAGCTCCATAGCAGCAGTTCTAAGGTGTGGTCCAGAGACCCTGGGGTTCCCTGAGACCTTTTCAGGGATCTACAGAGTCAAAACTACTTTCATAATAGTGCCAAGATGTTTTTGTCATGTTCCTTGTATTCTTCCACAAGTGTGTGGTGGAGGTTTGCTGACTACGTGGTTTGTGCTAGCACAGTGCACTGACTGTTGAAGCAGATGTGAGGTGTTTGCCATACACCAGACATCAAAGAAATTTAGAAAAATGTGACAGCACCATTCTTCTCACTGTAACTACATATGACATCTTAAGCTGAAAGCTACTTTAGAATTTTTCTGACTAGAATTGTGCAGGCTTAGTAAGTATAACTCCCTTACTTTTTAATCACATATCTTGGATATATCTGTTCTGTGCAAAGCTCCTCTTATTTTTGTTTCAGAAAATAGGGTTTTTTTAATTAAAAATGTTATTTATGTTAACGCATAATAGATTTATCATTATTAATTTTAAGTTAATGATAAAGTTTTTTGTTCTAATAATCTCTAATATGATGAATGTCAGTGGGTCTAATCCACATAAACAAAAGCTCTTTGGAGTCCTCAGAATTTTTAGTAGTATATAAAGGCATTCTGAGATTAAAATGCTTGAGATTTGCTGTTCTCTAGCATTCTGATCCCTAATGGCTTAGAAATGCCATGTGGGAAGTACTCTGACGTAAGTGGACCCAGTGCTCCACTGGTGCAGTTTTGTTTTGAATGGTCTGGAATGCTCCCCCTGATGCCATTTAGCTGATAATTGTTGACTACCTGTCCATTGGTTTGGGGGCTATGCTTTATCCCTTACGGATTCCTGCATATTTTGGCTAATAATTGTATGCAGATTACCTACCTAAACTTTATTGTTTTTACCTTTGCCTTTAGCTTTAGTATCTTAGTAAAAAATGCTTAGAAGAATGTTTAATAGAAAATGCTTTGGTGTTTGTTTTCCTTGTAAACTCAATAACATGTATGTGTCAATAAATACATGAAAGAAAACACTCCAGAATAAAGAAAAGTAAATATCTTAGCCCAAATCACTATTCCTAGTATTTACTCTCATTTGTAGTGGTTAGTAGTAGTACTTTTGTACTCCAACTCATGGAAGAGGGTCTATATTGTAGAAGGCACTCAACAAGTACTTGGTGAATTAATGATTAAGCATTCAGAGCTGTTTCTGCATTTGTGTGGCAGGCATTTTGTACAATCTAAAGCATGAATTTTAGAGTCATACACCCGGGCATTGTTTACTGTGACTCTGAGCCCCATTGCTTAGAATTTCTATTCCCGAGAATGTTTGGCAGAATTCATTATGTAACCTCCTAAAGTGTTTGATCCCTAGCAGATAATAAATTGTAGTTCCCCTTTATTCTCATTGGCTATGTGAGTAGTGTGCTGGTGGAGCATATTTGAGAGAGGTAAAAACTGGTTTTCTGCATTTGGAAAACATTGGTGATAATGTGAGAATCAGGCCATTATATCATGAAATAAAATTTCTCCCCTTACCTCTTTTCTACATAGCTTGTGTTTAGCTTCAATGAAAAGCTTTTTGGTTTACTGGTGAAGGATATTGAAGCCATGGATCCTAGCATCTTGAAGGGAGAGCCTGCAACTGGTAAAAAACAGAAGGTGTGCTTTGTTTCTAATCTTTATTAATAACCTTTGTGACTTTGTGATGTGAATTGTGCAGATTAATATAATTTTCCTAACTATTTACTTGCTTTGCATTTTTTCATATGGTGAATTTTCTTTTTGATAGGGAGAAAATGCTTTCATAAAGCATTGTTACTAATATACAAATTAAAATATAGTTATTTGCAGACCTAATAGTAATTTGAGGTTTGTATAAGTATTCATAATCTTAGCTGAATGAAGATATTATTTTTGTTTTCCCATTTTTTAATTGTTGCATTAGAACTGTACACAATGGTGGGATTTGTTACATATTTGTATTTACACACAAACAATATTAATTAAAGATATTTATTATAAATAAAGAAGAAGAGCATTATTGAAATAAAGCATGTAGCAATTATAGGATATATATTAAAAAAAAGTAAAGTGACTCAAATAATAATGGGGGAGATTTGCTTTGCACAGAAAGTTCAATTTCTCTTCATTTTTTGCCTTGCATTGAGAAGTCCAAAAGTCTGCTATTAGCCTATTAATTATTATCTTTCTGTGTAGATTGAAGTAGGACTGGTTGTTGGAAATAGTCAAGTTGCATTTGAAAAAGCAGAAAATTCATCACTCAATCTTATTGGTAAGAGATACAGTTTTAAAAAATTCCAAGTGAAATGGGACTATTATTAAATGTGATTCAACTAAAGTGATTTTCAAGCAGGGGAGGAAAAGAGGGGAATGTCCTTCCTGTGAGATGGCTTATCCCAAAATCATGGCATATTTCATATTTGTCAGATATTCTGATGAAAAAGTTTAAAATCTTCATCTGGATCAGTGTTATCCAAATAGAATATCCAAATACAATATGAAACATGCAATTTTAAATTTCCTAATAGCTATACTAAAAATAAGTAAAAAGAAACAATGAAATTAATTTTTTAACTTTAAATTTTCTGATAATTTTAGGCTTATAGGAGATTTGCAGAAATAGCTCAGAGAACTACTATCTACCTTTCACAAACTTCCTCTGAGGTGAACATCTTAAATAACCCTGTATAGTTAACAAAATTAAGAAATTAAGAACAGTAGCTCATTAAAATAGCAGTTTCAATGCTACTAACTAAACTATAGACTTTATTTGGATTTTACCAGTTTTTCCCATTATGTTCTTTTTCTGGTCCAGGATCTCATTCAGGATCATCTGATATTGCATTTAGTGTAGTTTCTCAGAATTTTATTATCTTTCATGACCTTGAAAACTGGTCAATTATAACTGGTCATCTGGTGGTTGTATTAAATGAGATACTGTCATCACTTTTATTAGTGATCAAAGGACGAATGCTTTGGACTATGTTCATAGTCCATCCAGTCCCATTCTTGTTCTTTAGCCCTGATTTTTTAAAAATATTTTTTTAGTTATAGCTAGACATAATACCTTTATTTATTTTTATGTCGTGCTGAGGATTGAACCTAGTGCCTCATACATGTGAGGCAAGCACTCTGCCACTGAGCCACAATCCCAGCCCAGCCCTACTTTTATTATATTAAAATAATGCAATTTAGTATTGAAGAACAGTAGCTCATCAAAATAGCAGTGCTATTAACTGAATAATAATTCTTACTTTTGATCAATTTAACTGTGTTCATGTCTACTACATTAGAAAGTAGAGGGTTTTCATTGATTGCACACTACTGCACACTATCATTTTCAAGTTTATGTAACTTTCTCTACATGTGTGGCCTATTTTCTTGGTCTATCAATTTTATTTTATCTTTTATTTATTTTATCTTATTGTTTATATTAATTATAAAATATAGATAGACATTCCCTTGAAAACAACTCATATTCTAAATTTTTATTTTTATACTGTGTTTTATAATTTTTTGAGTGTTTTTTTTTTTGGTTTAACATTTTTCAAGCATCTTAAGTATACCTCTACATATAATTTTTTATGACTATATAATGTCATTTTATAAATGCTGGGTATGTTCCAATATATTTTTGATCCAACACACATATTTATTTATTTATTTATTTTTACAACTTTTGTTAAGATATTTTAAGGGCATTGCATAACTTTCACACAATGCAGGTATTTCCAAGTAATCCAAGCAAAGGTGTGATAGGCTTGCAGTGAATTTGACCACAAGAGGGCAGTAGAATGTAAGCAAAATATTTTTGATAGCCTAAAAGAATTCTCAAAACTCTAACCATAAAATTTCTTTAATGTGATATTTTAAACTTTTTAAAATATGATATTTTCTTCCCTGACTGTATAAAAACTATGTTCTTATTTTTTGTTGTTGTTGTTGATATTAGAGTGTACTAAGGTAGCTTGTTCTTTGTATGTGAAATAGTAAATGTGATTCTGTTAAGTTACTTTAGGTGGCACTCTGACATTTAAATTAGATATTTTTTACCCTTGTAAGAGAATCTGTAAACATGAATTTTGTAGTCAATGGTCTTTAGAGTGATTTTAGACTTTTGTGGACATTTGAAAAAAAGCAAATAAGACATCAAACTCACTAGTGTATCTTCTTAGGCTAAGGGGGAGTTACGTACTGATTATAAGCTTAATCTAGACAAGTACTTGTATTTTTAAATATAACTTAACTTTTTAAAAGCTTTCAGAGATTGCTAGATTTCTGTTGCCTTTCTAGCAACTAGTGTTGTCTTCATCTGATATGCATGTGGTGTTTCTTCTAATCAGCCAAGTTAATTAATTTGGTTAGATTAAAGGCTAGTGAAAACAAGTTCTGTGAATTGATGACAAGTAGACTATAGCATAAGTTTAGCTAGTCATTTTGAAAATTTATTACTGACCATAAGTGGGAACCAAAGTAGATAAAGCAAACTCACTCTTTTTATTAGAAAATCCTCCAAGGGTATGTTCTTCTTTGAATAAGGGTAGCTTGTCTGTTCACTTGAGATGACCAGAGAGTATCTATCTGTGTTTTTACACTTGGAGGTGAAGTTGTTGTTTCATATTTGATTATATTTATTTGACATAGGCAAATCTAAAACCAAGGAAAATCGCCAATCTATCATAAATCCTGACTGGAACTTTGAGAAAATGGGAATAGGAGGTCTGGACAAAGAATTTTCAGACATTTTTCGACGAGCATTTGCTTCGCGCGTATTTCCTCCAGAGATTGTGGAGCAGATGGGTAAGTTCAAAAGGGAAAATTTCATAAAAGTTTATATTTTAAAAAAATTAAATGATAATCTCTTTTCAGTGGTTTTGAAATTATTCAAATCTGCCAAAATATTTTTTTCAGTTTTAACTTTTTTTAAAAAATAAGTTTTCTGAAAATTTTTCAAAATCTTTAATTTTATGGTGAAATCATAGAAATAATATTTGGGTTGTTCAACTTATTTAGTTAGTTTAGAATTTTTTTTTCATAGGGCATATTTAGAAATTTTACCTGATTCTAAAGATTCATTATGGGTCAGGTTTACCCTGCTGAATAATCATTATCTATGATTATTATTGTTATTATTAATCATTATCTATGCTGCTTCTTTTTTTTGTACTATTGAATTATCTCATTAGTATATCTTCATACCTGATAGATGGATACATGGCATGTTTTTAAATTAGATAAGCTTGATCCAAAAAGACAAATTCAGGATATACACAGGGGTTTCCATATTGCATATAAAGAAATGCTCTATGCATTTATCATTTTCCTCTTGAAGGTTTATTTAATTTATCTGTGTGAAGTGACTTTATTTGCCCAGTGGAAATGCTGTCATGACTGCTTTCATATCCATATCATCCGCTGGATTGGAATGTGAGCAACAGAATATCTGAGAAAGGAATTTATAACATAATAGCTTCTGGCAGTCTATTAGTGTAAAAACAGGATCTAGAAAAACAGAGGGAATACAAATATGTTACTCCCCTTCCCTCATCATTCTTTCTCTTTAAATTGCTACTGGGAGATAAAAGTATATTCATCATGGTGGGGATAAGAACTGCTTTTTAGGCACTAAGTACTTGGATTGTATTAGCCCCCTATTGTTGATAGCTTTTCTGCCTGGTCGCTCACTCTAAGAAATTACAGGCACGGCACACACCTGTTCACTGGGTAAAGGTCGAGTTTGGAATTGGATTAAGAGAAAATGACAGAGACCCTCATCACCTGAGTTTTATACACCTTGAAATGACAATAGCATACTTTTTATCTGAAAGATACAAAGGCCAAGTCCATAAAAAACAGAATTCTAATTTGGAAAATAGTAAAAAGTGGGATAACTCACTATCATGGTAGTGTATTTTAAGGCACAATAAATCCAGAAAAGTTTTTGATCTAGACATGGAAATATTGTTTAAGTGTATTTGGGTGAAAGCAGAGTTGAAAGGATGATTCCAAATGTTTTAAACTTTTCATATGAAATATTTTTATTGGTTTTCAGGATTGAGACCTAGTGATTCAATCTCTGAACATTTATACTATCCAGCCAACAAATAAAAAAATAACTACATCTGTAGTAAGCTGTGTCTTTGATTATAAATATTTTCTATTTGGAAGCTCTTGAGGATTTCGTTATTAGACGTTAGTTTCTTGTTGGTATGTTATCCAGATCCTGCTCCTGAGGGCCTGTCTGGGGTAACATACATAGTTAATACATAAAAGAGTAAAACTCCTACCAGTCTGTGACTTTGTCACCTGTACAAGAGTTTGAAATTCAATAAAAATAGGTTTAGAATTTATTAGTGAACTTAACCTGTTTCTAGTATTGTATCTAAATGAGTTAAATTATGGTTGTATGCCTTTTATTATTCATGTGCTTTTTAACTAAGGATAGTGGATTTGAATTTTGTGGGTGCTACTGTCCAGAACCTTTCTTTTGGATTTGTTTTTTCTAAGATGTTTACATTAATTCAATTATACAAAATATAAGTTTTGTTGTTTTTAAACAAAAGTCATATATTTTCTCTTTATGGCTTTTTGCTTTTAAGAAGCATGCATTATCAATTTGATTTAAAAGTCAGTGTAAAGCTACCTTGGCTTTTTAGCTAAATAGAATAATCATTATTTCTTTATTCTAAATGAAGTTTCTGAAAAATCTAAAAAAAATTAAGCTACTTTTTTTATGGCTAAATGACTGAGAAATAATTCTTTTGCTATGTATGTGTCATTCCTCATTATCCAATAGAAGCTTCTCCCCACCCCCTTTGAATTCTGGGGGAATTAGACAGTAAAATTCTTCCTTGCACTCCAGATACACTGTGGTCATAAAGTTCTCATTAAGTTGGTAAAGGTATGTAAAAATGAAAATTGCTGCATTTGGATAGAATATAAATAAAATTATACAAGTATCTCTTATGTGTACCCTGCATTCTTTCACTCTGCCAAGTAGGAACAAAATTGGCTGATTGTTTTTTCTTTACTCTTTGTTAACTAAATAGGCAAAACTATGATTTTGGATTCAATTAGACACTGGGTATGGTCGGTTAAATCAATTCAAATAAAAATATTAGAAAGGAATAATTTATGTAGGTTGTAAGGCTTTTTGCTTTAAGCAGATAACTTTATTTTTGACTAAGAACAAATCATTATCTTACATGTAATCTGGAGAACTTCTACTTTGTAAACAGGAATTTTAACCAAATGGAGTTTTTGCCTATATATATCAGTTTTTCAAATTTACAAAGTAATAAATTTAGAATTTTCTTCTGTCATTGTGTTTATGAGATTGATCACAATGCTTCTGGGTAGTATAGTTCTTTCCTTTTGTTTGTAAAACTTCATATTTCCTTTTCAAAATTAAAAATGTAGGTTAGATACACACAAAATATTGCTGTAGGGGTAAAGAAGACTAAATGACTTAACCAGAGGCACACAATTATGCAGGAAAATTAGGGATCAAATGATGTGACACATGTAAAAATAACTTTGTCATAGAATTTTCAATCTCTTGAAGTACTTTCAGATACATAGTGTACACCTTCTTGCTTTTGTTATATATTTGAAGAATTAAAACCAAGAAAATCCTTAAAGAGAAAAGGAAATCACATAAAGCCAGACAGACAGAGGGATAGAGGTTATCTGTAAAAATAGGAAAGGAATGACTTTGGGGGACTATCACCTGAGGCATTTGTTGTTGTTTTAATCAGGATAGCTACTTTTTTCTTGTCTGTAGCCCAAGTGTAGCAGCTGTTCTTTGGAAGTATGTGGAAATATTAGCAAAGAAAACAAGACCTGTACCTTGATGTTCGTGAGTACTAAGTAGGTATTTAGTTAAAATGTCCTTCAATCCCCCAACAATAGATGTTTAATTAGAAATGACCTTAAATTATTACTTTGTGGGATAACATTCAGCGCCATGAATCCTAGGGTAGAAGTGAGCATCAGAAGTTGGCATCTGAAAGTTCAGGTAAATAAGAGCAGCAAACGGATTGCTGCCCTTGAGCATTTTCAGATACAATTGAATATTTTCTTCTGTTCAGATATTACCACACTTGTTCCCTACGTGCAATTTGTAGAGAATGCTCATGATAAATAACTGACTGATGAATTACTGAATTCTCATTGTAGCTCTTTTGTTGGCAAAGAGAATTTCTGCAGAGAAACTTCATTTTTCAGCATCCCTGGCAATAATCTCTGAATAGTAACTGTCAAAACAAAAAGCTAAATTCTTTTCAATGAATACTGGAATAACTGCTAAATGTAATCTGGAGAGTAGGTCTGTAGTTACCCAAAGAAAGGAGCTTTGGCAGAAGAGCTAGAAGAGAAAGGGTATAGAGACTATAGGTCTCTGCCTCCCTGTCTTTCTAGAATCTTCAGGCTCTGGACAAGCGCAGGCCACCTATTGGGGAAGAATGCCCCTTGTTGTGGTCTTGTCCCCCCATTCTTTGAAACTGAAGCTGTGTTCTTTTGGTTGTCTTTTCCCTGTGCTTTCCTCTCTAAGCCCATTTTCAATCTGTATTTTTAAGGTTTCTTTTGAAATTCAAGAGGAAAGCAACTCTTTTTTCTGATATCATAAGTAAAACTGTAGTTCATCTATGAAGTAGAGCTGTGGAGAAGATAAGGAGCCTTTCAATCACACCCAGACATCTTTCACATGCTAAGAACAGTGCAAATAAAACGTAGTGGAAGAAAGGGCACCAAGGTTTTGTGTGAGCCATATTTGGGAGAAAGGGAGTTCTGGCTAAGATTAACATAAACACTGACACTCTTAAAATGCATTTTCACACCCCCACTCATGAGGAGAGATTGCAATTTAAATGGGGGTTAAGACATCTAGCCGAACTCCAGGGCTCTGTAAAAGGAACCCTAAGGCTAAAGAGCTTATCTGAAATTTGAAAAAAAGAGAAAAAAAAAAATGAAGCTTTCTGACATTCATCTTTTTTCCTTGTATTAGTCATAACTTGCTTTTCAGCTATATTTTAGGTTTTGAATGCCAGCCTGACATCTGTTCAAGTCTGCCTGCAATTTATTAGCAGAGAAAAAGAAAGCAGTTGCTTAGTAGTAAGATATACAAAACTTTTCGCTTCTGATTTTTCATTAACTGCTTATAGATGATACCTGAATATGAAGAATGTACTAATTTACTAATTCTTACTTTAGATCAAGAAATTTATATAATTTTTTAATTAGAAGAAAATGGCTTCTGACTATGTGATTTCTAAAATCTCTCCAGCAGGGTTTAGAGACAAAGCATATAGCCTAAAAATATTATAGGTAACTTTTTATAAATTGAAAATTTTACTTTGAATTTATACTTGAATAGAAATATGTAGTTATGCCTGTATCTCAAAGTCAAACTATGTAAATTCATTTGGCCTTTTTTTAGTTATGGACAGACTTCAAGAAATAAATCTTTTGGAGGGGTAGAGTTGTTTACAGAGTCACCAGTGGATTAGATTTCCTGGTAACTACAGTTTAGTTACTTACAGATAAGCAGTTGGGTCACTACCAAGTTGAAGTCTAAGTCTTAACCTGAATGTCCATTGGTAGGGAAATGATTAAATAAACTATGATATATCTACATTATAGAATATAACAGAGCCTAGCTTAAAATGAAATAGCTTCAAATGAACAGACATAATTGTGTTAATAAATACATAAAACTGAAAGTAAATGCATCATAAACTCAGGACATGTTAAATTGAAAAAGTTGTTTACTTCTGTGAAAGGAAGTTAGAGGAATGAAGGGA